TATAATACCAAACTCTTTGTAAATCTATGTTAAAGGGCTCATTTACTGTCTCAGGAGGAATCAAATTGTCATTGATCTTCTGAGAAAATAGTTCATTACACCATGAAAACATTGCAAAGTAGCTACTAATGGAGAATAAAGCAGATTAAAAGCTATTTAACACAAAAGCAAACCTGTCGCTCGCTAGCCTAATTAATGCAGCACAGCTTTGTATCATCAAATGCAAAATCTTTACATGGGGGTCTTACAGGTAGCATTTTTATATAAAAAATATATAAATCTATCTATCTATCTATAGTGGGGAAAATATTTAATCCCCTGCTGATTTTGTACGTTTTGCCTACTTACAAAGAAATGAAGGGTCTGTAATTTTTATGGTAGGTTTATTATTTATTATTCCACATGGGCACATAACCAATCTGTGGGAGCCAGAATTCTTGCTGGTTAGTAGGGGATCAAATACTTATTTCACTAACTGAAATGCAAATAAATTTCTAACCTTTATATAATGCGTTTAATCTATCTATCTATCTATCTTATCTATCTATCTATCTATCTATCTATCTATCTATCTATCTATCTATCTATCTATCTATCTACCTATCTATCTATCTACCTATCTACCTATCTACCTATCTACCTACCTACCTACCTACCTACCTACCTATCATAAAACACAACAAATGCATAAAAATATTTCAATATATCTAAAAACTATATAAACAATAGTGACCCCTTCACTGTGCAATCATATAAGAAAAAAGAAAGAAATTAAAAGATATTTGCTCCATCATATAGCGAACCCATAGAAAACAGTTAAAAAGTTGCAAATCTACACTGAAAATGTCTCCACGTCACCACTTCTCTCCACATGCCTCTAAATTAGTATCTATCTATCTATCTATCTATCTATCTATCTATCTATCTATCTATCTATCTATCTATCTATCTATCTACCTATCTACCTACCTACCTACCTACCTACCTACCTACCTACCTACCTACCTACCTACCTACCTACCTACCTACCTACCTACCTACCTACCTACCTACCTACCTACCTACCTACCTACCTACCTACCTACCTACCTACCTACCTACCTACCTACCTACCTACCTACCTACCTACCTACCTACCTACCTACCTACCTATCATAAAACACAACAAATGCATAAAAATATTTCAATATATCTAAAAACTATATAAACAATAGTGACCCCTTCACTGTGCAATCATATAAGAAAAAAGAAAGAAATTAAAAGATATTTGCTCCATCATATAGCGAACCCATAGAAAACAGTTAAAACGTTGCAAATCTACACTGAAAATGTTTCCACGTCACCACTTCTCTCCACATGCCTCTAAATTCAATCAATTTAATAATTTCACAAATATTCAAAGAAAGATGATTTGCATCAGATAAGCACGTCCTGGCTCTAATGCCTATTATGTTTGTCCTTCAGATTGGGCAGGTGGAGACTCCTGTTGACAAACCAGCGTGACAGAATCTGCATTTTCACAGACAGAGGATGGTCAATCTAATTTACTGACTGGATGGAAGTACTTAGTAACGCGTTACTGTAATTTGATTACTTTTTTAGTAACGGAGTAATTTAACGCATTATCATTTTCAAAATAGTAATTAGAGTATAGTTACAAGCCGAGGTCACAATAAGTTACTGCCACGTTACACTGCTGACAGAATGCAGTGTTTTATAATCTAGATTGTAAAAAGGGTGTAGCACACGCACTGACGAGTCCAGTGACAGTGGATAAGAGACCTGCTCTCCCGCGAGACACGACGCAACAGAGTGCAGGTGCTGGCGGATAGACACTCGTGTGTGTGCGGGATACGGGAGAATAAAATGATTCACGGGACTCCCGCAAAATAGAAATATCTAAATATAAAATGTCTAAAACAAATAAATTGTTATTCATCTATTGCACAAAAGCCACAAGAACTAATATAAAATAAAAAACGATTAACAGGCGCAAGCGTATAAAATCTCTCATTATAAAACACGAATTGTAGACATTATGAAAGTTTCATTATGCATATATTCATTGTGTTATAACAGAGCTTTGTGAGATTGCGATGAACTGAGATGTCATCTTTTTAGAGATTATAAAAGCAGTGCTATTTGCTGGCATTCTGCCATGCCAAACATGTATGCAGAAGCCCATGCTTGCTTTACTTAAAAACAACAGTGTTCTGTGAATGTTGATGCTTTAATAACAAATATTTATTGGGAGCGTTTATGCTGGGATTTCATGTAAATTTCATGGATGTAGCCACAGAAAAAAGTAACGTAACTATTAATGTAACTAATTACTTTTGAAATAAAGTAATCAGAACAGTAACGTGATTACTTTTAAAAGGAGTAATCAGTAATCAGTAATTTAATTAAATTTTCAGAGTAACTTGCCCAACACTGCTCATGTGACTTTCCACGGCTGGCCCTCTCTCCCCGTCCCACATCCTTTGCTATATAATCAGCACGTGGAAACATAGAATTTAAGAGTTCAATTACACGGTAACTAAACATTACCCAATCAGTGATTTCATACCTGTGACAGTAGAACAATATTTTAAAGCACTCATGTGGTGACCCTACTGCATGAGTGGTTATAGAGCGTATAGAGGCTATTAACACATTGATGCTATTCTAAAACTTTATCGCAAGCCGTAAACATGTCAGATAACAATTGCTCCATATTTCTTTTAAATCTCTTCCTTTACATTTGTAAGCAAGATCAAATATTTATCTAGACTTTCGAGTGTGTCGTGGCTTTGAATGGACTGTCATGATGAGCCCCCTCATAAGTCTTGCATGAACTTAATGATAGCGAGAAGAAAAAAATGCATGTTGTGGACACCTTAACACAAAAAGCTAGTCAATCAAATGCATTTTCTTGATAGCAAAGACATTGGATCATCTTTTGTCAAGGTTACTCTCTATGCATCTCCGAGATGATCTCATTCCTTTATGCAAAATTGCTACTCAAATCATTAATTAACTCAGCATGCAAGAGGGCATGCCATGCTAATATCCATGCCTGCATTTCTGTCCACAGGACAGCAGCCTACAATCCGCCCACCTCTAGGTTTCGAGGCATGCCGTGAATAGCCCAAGTGCATTCTCCATTCAGAAACCGGGGCCTAGGGTTGCATTATTCATCATGAATAAATGATAAACTATTTTTGCCCTCCTGTTCTGTTCTGAGAGCTACTGGAATAAAAATAGAGGAAAATAAGAGAAAGCCTGTGAGATAAATAAGAAGAGAAAGGGCTGGGGAGGGGTGAAAGAGTGTGAAATGAGAGCACAGAGGCTGGTATCTCTCTTTCTGGCTGCATTAGAGTGGGTTTGCTGAAGGGAAGGAAAAGCCGATTTGGGATGAGAGCCAAACAACTGCATGTCACACAGGCTTCTGAGCCACTGATTGCTCTCATTGCCCCTCTCTTTGTTCTCAGAGATTGTGAGGTAACACAAGCTTAATCTACAGAACAAAACTGCAACTCAAAGAATAAAGACTTGGGACTTTTTGTCCAGACTGATATGACAGTGCCTGTGATAGAAAAAATATACTAATAATGTTGCATTCGGTTATATGTTAAAATTTTTAAAAGACAACTTGAAATGACATTTACAACATATTCAGCTTCAGTAATGTGACATATTACCAAGTGAAACTGGGTTTGATTGGATTGTCAAAATATGGAACATATGGTTTAGACATTGTTTTTTCACCACAACTTTAGTTACACCAGCAAAAAGGAAAAATTACATGTGGAGATTAAAGATTATGAAAACAAATATTTTCTCATTATCATGCACTGATGAAACTGTTCACAATAACGCCATGGACAATAATGGGGGGAAAAACTAAAACAAACAGATTTTAGGCGCCTTCCCCACGCCACTCGGGGCGGATAACTAATGTTTGGTTGAGTTGTGTCACGAGTTTACTGTTTGTTTGTAGTCACGAGGGTTACGAGTGTTTCTAGTGTCTGTTCCGGGACTGATGCAAGCCAGTGGTTGGCCGTATTGCATCAGTGCCCATTTGCGTGTTTCTAGCCTGTTTCAGAGTCTCAGCTCTGTTTATGTTCTGTTTTTTCCTTTGTTTTCCCTGGCAGTAAAATAAACCTGCATTTGGACCCAAAACCCTTGCTCACACGGTGTGATTCCGGACCGCGCCGTGACAATTACAGTTCTTACAAGGCAGAGTGGTGAATTTTTAGGTAAGCTTATGGTTCATGGTACTGTATGCTTCGGTTCATAAGTGGCATAACTGTCATGAATCAACGCAATGCACAGAAATCAACAGCTACTGTTTATGGTTAAATAGAGTGCAACAGTGGCTGCCCACTTTTTCAGCAGCCTTGGTTCAACTCCAGTCCCATGAAGTCTTGCAAATGACAAATTACAAATGACAGATACATATAAAACTATTGATTAAAAGCTGTTGCACATACAGAAACAACATAATTTACATTTGTTGGAAACTAAAAACATTGGTGCTAAAAATATTCTTCCAGTGCAAATTGCTTGTTTTGGTTCTCTGAATGGTTTGCAGATTTCTTTGCATTGCAAATTTTTTTTTGGTAACGTAGATTTCCCATAGAATTCCACTGTTAAACGTGATCATCTAAATATAAGCTAAAATATATTTCATGGTTTATTTTGAATTATTAAATATATTAAAGTTTTAAAAATAATCAGACTGAAATAACTGCAGAAGTGTGTGGAGAAGAACAGCATGGTTACAATAGGCCTTTACATTATTTGTTCTGTGCCGGTTATGTAATATCTCAGGTGGGCCAAGGAATGATTTATATTTTATTAATTGCCTTGCACAGAGAACAATAATCATTTAACAACAGATGTTACAACACATTAGAGGTTATTATACGTAGTTCCCATATGTATTATTCTAAGAACTGCTGTTGTTCTTTCTGTCTATGGAAACTAATAGTTAGCTGAAGATGAATTGTCCTTACCAGATGGAGGTCCACACAAGTCGAGTTGTTTTCACACATGTTGCTGACACAGTCATTGATGTCCTGCTCGCATCTTAATCCAGCGTAACCAGGGTTACACAAGCAGTAAAAACCATCCACAGCTGCAGCAGGAAACACACAAGGAGACAGGAGAATTCACTTTAGAATCGATGAAATACATTTTCCTATTTTAGAAACGCATAAGAAACATTTACAGAAAAAAGTAAAAAAGTAAAATCGCAATGACGTGCTTATGAACTTCATCATTCAATGACGTTGTAGGTACAATATTTATCTTGGGCAACATTTTCAGGGCTGGTTATGAAATTAAAACCTTGTAGAGCAGATGCCAGTGCACAGTTCATAGCAAGCAATAAAAATCACTCAACCCAATTTTACAATCATTCGTAACAAATTTTTTACATTTTTATTTGATCAAAAATACTGTAAAACAATGATGTTGTCGAATATTACTACAATTTAACATAACTCTTTTCTATTTCAAAATATTTAATGTATTCCATTCCCAGGTATTGAAAACAATTGTGCAGCTTAATATTTTTGTGGAAATTGATACCATTTTTTCAGGATTCTTTGATGGACATAAACGTCAAAACAACAGCATTTATTGGAAATAGAAATCTTCTGTAATATTTTAAATGGCTTTACTGTCACTTCTGAACTTCATAAAATATGTATAATTTTATTTTGTTAGCATTCCTAGCACAGTTAGCTAACCAACTATGATATTTTTGCAATGTCAATATCCATGTGCATTTCTTGTAGGAAATGTGGGATGACATACATAATAAACAATTATAAACCAACTAGAATAAACAACTTGCATAGAACAAATGTGCATATATAAAAATTACTTTTAGATTTTCAGATTTTAAGAGATGGCAACTTGACATTTTAAGCACTTAAGGCATTTAAAGACACTTAAGACATTCAATCTGTGGCTTAATTTTTTAAAGATCTACAAACCCCTCGTTTTTACACTCAATTTTTCCTCCACAGCCACAGAAGTTAAAAGACTTATCATATTTTCATCATATTCTCTCTTTTGTCTATAAACCATTGTTCCTAAGCTTATCAGTAAAATTGATTTTCTCTGCTTGTGCAATTCTGTGGTCATTTATATTCACCCCAGCAGCTGGAAACACAGTGTGTCCAATTCAATGTAAAATGTGTGTTTGAGTAGCCATCTCTTTTACAAATGCTACAAGAGTGTCGCTGTCCACGGTCTTTACGTTGCATCTGACTTCTGAAACCTAATGACCCATTCCACAAGTCTTTAATCATTAACGGCGTTGAGAAGAAATGCATCCCCTGCCTTTCTGCTGCAAAACAGCAGCCTGTGACAGAGGTAATTGTGGGTCCTTACAGCCGCAAATTTATTACAAGGCCTGCGCCGAGTCCCAGGATTCTTCATTATCCCTTAGATTTACCACGTAATCTATGCTGCCACTCTGTCTTTGTACATGTACCCACGATTACTCTCATTAAATGCTCAGAGTCCAGAGTGGCACCCGTATTACTCACACCAGCTTCTCAAAAGATACACCTTGCTCTCTCACTCTATCCCCACACAAACACAGCAGATCGCACACTTCATATATTGCAGACAGGCCCTGAGGGACTGCATGTGTGGGGCTCTTTTTGCTGGTGCAGTCTGGGAGAAAGTAAACAAGTAAACTTTGTCTGACGGAGATTGTAGGAATTGGAGATGTTGGTAGACAAGACAAAGTGGCTGCAGGTTTGAATCCAAGTGGTGGACGAGGAATACTTGGTTGCCTGGTTACAAAATTGTCTTTCATCTCTGTCACCATTTTACCTCAGAGCATAGTACTTAACTGCAGGTTGCTCTGGGAGTGCAATTAGTGAACTACATGTCGGTTTGGATAAAAAGCATCTGCTAAATGGCAAGAAATTAGAAGTAAGGTACATGTATAGTATAAGTTAGCAAAGCACAATATAGCATACAGTAATATTACATTACAGCACAATTCAGTGTACCACAGCATGTTAATATGCATATCAAAACTGTGAAGTGAGTTTCATGCATTAAAATTACACTTAGTAGTTATTTCCTCATGTAATAAACAATTCAGCATTAAGACATTTTATCTTTGAACCTTTGTTTCTTGCCAAATTACAAGTCCATAATAACGCTTCCTCCAGTGAAAAAGTCTGTCTTCTGTTGTCTTCTCACATCAAAATCCTCTGACATATTTGTTTAGAACTGTTTTAGCTTGTAAATGGTATTTATTTCTCTCCTGCTTCAGATGAGATGGCTTTTTCACTGGAGAAAGCAATATTATTGAAGTTAAAAACACCTTAATGATGGATTTGTTTCTTACAAACACTTTTGCTTCAAAAGATTTTAATCGATGAACTGGAGTTGTGTGGATTATTGTGATGATTTTTTTTTTTCAGCTGTTTGGACTCTTTCTGACGGCACCCATTCACTGCAGAAGATCTACTGGTGAGAAGGTGATGTAATGCTAAATTTCTCCACATCTTTTTGGAAGGAACAAACTCATCTACATCTTGGATGGCCAGAGGGTGAGTAGATTTTCAGCAAATTTTCATTTTTGGGTGAACCAAAAGTTTCACACAAAGACATGAACAGTAATTTTAAAAAAAAATCTTTAAAATGATGTACACTCAGACGAAAATGAAGTCTTTAGCTAGATTAGTATATGAACAAATGCTTAATATATGTCAAACACAGAGATGCCAGCATGTACTGCATTCAAAAGGTACTGATTACTGGTCTACTGCCTGGGGTTTCTGTTTTATTATGCTCTTATATTCGTCATCTGTAAAGTCTCCACACTGCTTGAAATTATCTTTAACGGATCAATATGACTATAGTCTCAGTTAAAGCTCTAATTTCCCTTTTTGATTCCAACTGCCCCTATTGCCAACAATATTCAGAAATTATTTTCAAAGGATTTATGGTACTTCTGTTGTAATAACAAAGCTGCTCATTTTCAAACTTTTTTATATAGGTTAAAATGAAATAAATTAAGTACTTAAACTGAAATTCCATAATTCCAGAAGTTTCAAGAATTGTTCTTTAGGAACTTTATATTACCAATGAATTTAGATGACTCTTCTAGTTTATTTTATTTGTATTCACTAAAAGCAATTTCTACCCTATAAAATATTTTAGAGGTTGAAATAACTAGAAAAAAAATCTTTATAAAAATTGTATTAACTTCTGTGACTTTTTCCAGATCTATAAATTACACAATTAAAATCCCTCATATAACCCTGTGAGAACCCTGCTTATTAAACTCAAATGATTGTTGTTGCGGGAACAAACAAACAAACAAACAAACAAATAAATAAAACAAAATGAAATAAAAAGAAATTACAATGATAGCTTACATCTTGAATTTTAGAGGTTTTAGCTTACTCCAAAGACTTCTGGAAAACTGGATAAGTTCAAAACGGAAGCATTAAAGCCTATTCATCAGAATCCTGCAATGTTCAAAGCTAAAGCAGGATGGTTAGCAAGTTGATAGCAAAAGTATTTAGACAAAAGGACACTGGACAACACATACTGAATTTGAAAGTGTTTTCTGCTACTTTTAGGGGACGATTTACAGCCTCTTTTAAACAAACTGTAAAATCTTAAGCAGTTATCAAAGTCAAGGTTTGTCTTCCTCTCGGTGTCACTGCAATGACATCCACCATTATGCTATATGGAATTGAATCTTTATCACCCAAATAAAATACTGCCAACTGGAAAACATCTTCTGTGACTCATTTTAAAGGCCTTTTGCTATATATATAGGTGTAAGTGTTATATGCAATAATAAAGACTGTTTCAAACAGGTTTCCTAAACACTTTGCCTATTTGCCGTTGGTTAGAGGGTTGTATGCAATAACTGATCATTTAGCCTACATATACAACAGCATACTTTATTGCAAAGGCCTATTTTGTGCTTTGCAATCTGTAATCCCAAACTGACAACATATATTTGATCTACGGCTTTTGCAATGATTTATACAGAAGATGCAACACAAAAGGGCAAAAAAACACCTTATTGGATTGCTGAGGGAGAACAACACCCTGCCTTGGGCTTTGATTGTATTAACTCCGTCATTTATCATCCATTATTCAAATTACAAAGCAGCATTTATGCCTTACAGATCCTCGCTCACAGCTGGAGCAAGACATACCAAAGCTCAACAAAGCAACATACTGAATGGAGTAACTTGTGTCTCATAAAACTGCTTATAAAACTAAGTCACGGCTAACACTGTCAAAGGCATAAACCAACAGTGCCTTTGCCTTGGCTTTCTAGAGTATCAGTGTGCTAGTGAGACTGAAGGGAAACGTTTAGAGTTTGGGAGTTCAAGGCTGAGAACTACAGTATTTACCGTCGTAACAGAAGCCGTGTCGACAGGGGTTGGAGCTGCACTCGTCTATGTTGATCTCACAGCGGGGCCCTGTGAAACCCTGGCGACATCGGCACCGGAAACCCAGAGGGAAGAGGACGGGATCAGCTTCCTCCACACACTCTGCCCCGTTATCACATGGATTAATGGCCTCACAGGGCAGCAACTCGCAGTTAATCCCTGAAATTCCAAATACAGAATGAGAAATACAATTACATCTGCAACAAAAACAACAACAGAAAATGTTTTGACTGTTTGTTTACTCTACAAATTCATATAATTAATTACTTAAAAGGCCTCTATTGCTACATTTAAGTCAAAAGCAGCCTTGTCACTTCTGAAAGGGGTCCCACATATTTTGACCACTGAATTTCCATGACTTTTCCAAGACAGAGGCACAAACAATCCTTTTTTGTCACCTAAGGAGTTGCAATTTATTATTTTGATGTACCATCATACATAAAAAAAATCGAATTAATTAAAATGAAACCACTATGTGGAGTACATTGTGAGTGAGTGACTCTTCCAGTCACTCACAAGGATTACTGCACAAGGATTTATTTATACATTTAATTAATAATTTTTTTAATTACAGTTTAGTAATAGCATTAATTAAGTGCAATTTCTCACCTAAGACTTTTTTTCAGGCCTTGATAAAACCGTACACATTTTTACCCTGCTGACTAGTTTGGACTATCTTATTAATTGTAACTGGTTTTAGATGAGTAATGTTGTTTAGATGAGTAATATTTTTTTCCAAGCACATTTTACCAATTCCAAACGACATCAATCTTAATAACTACTATTAATCTTGTATTTAATCATTTAGAATTGATATATAATTATTCATGAAGGCTGGAAGTGAAAAATGTCTTATATTCAGGTGTGCATAATTATTAAGCAGATTTTCTTTTACAGATAAAATGAGCCAAAAAAGAGATTTAACTCAGACTGAAAGTCAAAAATTATTAAATGCCCATGAGAAATATACAAAACTAATACAATACTAGAAATTGCAAAGTTAATACATAACCATTAGACAGCAAAATTGTCAGTGGGTCAGCAGGATTAGCCAAAAACATGTGGAGAAGAAAAGATGCACGTTAACTGCAAAAGAATTAGGAATTAAGGTGAAGAATTAAATGTGAATCACCAGGAACCATTTCGTCTCCAGCGCCACCATTTTCCAGAACTGCAACCTACCTGGAGTCTCTAGAAGTAAAAAAATGACCCCTACTTAGTTAGATTCACATACTGAAGTGTAGTAAAATATTTGAAGACTGATTCATATATATATATATATATATTTGGGGAGTTCCCTTTTAGTGCATCTTGAGATTTTATCTGCAGAAGATAACCTGCTTAATAATTATGCACACCTGAATATAAGGTGTTTTTCACTTCCAGCCTTCATGAACAATAATATATAGGTTATAAGTGATTAAATACAAGATTGATAGTAGTTATTAAGATTGATGTTGTTTGGCATTGGTAGAATGTGCTTGGAAAAAAAATATATAATCAGAATTTCAACTTGCATAATAATTATGCATGCACTGTATTTTCCCTCTTCCGCTGTCATCAGCAATGCAAGGCATGTTGTGATTGGTTGTCAAGGCAGCCAATCATAATTTAGCAGCCTTGTCTCTGATTGGCTGGAATTATGGCATATTGTAACAATGGGTTGTGTTGAGCAAGCCAGCCGTCGGCATTTAAAGAGCACTGAGGGCGGGCATCAAGGGAGCAAGCTAGTGAAACATTGCACGTGCAAAAGAGAAGGTCTGCACGCATCCAAAAACTTATTTTAAATGCAAAATTGATTTTCGTGCGCTCTAATTACTTTTTTCTTTGCGAAACGATCATTTTCTCCACAAAACTCAGATTGCACGCATGCAAAATGCACTTTTGTGCGCTCAAAATATAATCATTCGCACAGAATTGTGGCAGAGATCTAAGCCTATATGATGTCGGCGCCGTTGCAATTGGAGCGCTTAGCCAAGCGCTAAATACCCTCAACATGTTTATTCAGCGTTGAGCAATGTAACCAATCACATACATATCTGTTGATTTCTTGAACGCAATGGCCAATCAGAAACGTTTTGTCAGAATTCACTCACCGCTGAAAGCGCCGCAATTTTTCTCATGACTAAGTGTAGACGCGATGTAAATAAGAGATTCTTTGTGCAGTTTAGAGAGCTTCATTGATTATATCAGAACTTTGTAAGATTGCGATGAACGAAGATGAGTGACGCTTTTTAGTGATAAAGGGAGTGCGCTTTGCACACTTTCTAGGCATAATCCATTCAGAATTTGTATGAAACTTTAGTTTTTCAGACACATAGGCTACACCCTGTAAAGTTTCGGGAATGACCTCACATATTTATGCGGGATTCACTCTCGAAATAGCAGTGATTGGCAATGGACGGAACATAAAATATGTTGATTTAATTCTGGAACCGCTCCTGGCCAAACCTCCACATACAGCGCGCATCCCGAGCGAGATCTAATTCACAGACCAAAAGCATGTGTAAACTTTATTGAGATTGGGACATATCAACCAGTATTTTAATTTAATTTACATATATATATATATATATATATATATTTTTTTTTTTTTTTTTTTTTTTCTTGCCCCTCCTGACTCAAGAGTCAAATGTCACCCATGATGGTAGTAGAAGAGCCAGACAGAGATCTGTAGTCAAGTTGGTCACTAGCTACAGTAAAACCAACTTGAAAGCAACTCAACACACCTTATAATGGCAATTGGTAACTGACCAAAACTGTTCAGTGAAGCTGGTCAGCAGGCTAGCCTGGTTAAGCTGGTGCAAACGTTTTATTATTAAACAAGGAAATGGATTAGACAAAAATATACATGAATCAAAGACAGTACAAAAACCCATAACATAACGACACATTAGAGACAGATACGTGAGAACAACTTCAATGAAAATTAATGACATGCCTTTGAATTGTCTAATTAGACTAATTAGACATTGTTGGGTAATGGCCGCTACAAACTCTCAGGGTTTCAATTAACACATAGATAGACTCTGCACTGTATTTTAGCCAGTCTAGATACTAGATCATTTAGTAAAGGATAGCTGTGTAATGGATAGGTTAATGTTCCCAGCATCCCTCCACATAAACACTATGCTTGTGTTTCAGAGCAGCGAAGCTGCCTGTGCCTTTTTCCCCTCAATTTCAAAACAGAATAACCGATATAATCATTATCCCTGACAACCTAATTTGCTCGTCTAATGGAAGTGCGATCCGTGATCTCTGTTTGAGTATAAGCAGCGATGACTGAGCTGCCTGATCGATTTTAGATTAGATGCACTCTGTGTCAAGAATTGACCAGCTGAGCATCAAACGTACACAAAAACAACAACAACACCACAGATAATAATGCACAAAATACAGGTATATTAAGACAGCACATAGTTTCCGCAGTTTCCTGATCTGAATAACATAGTCAAAGAGAACAGCACTCTAGGGGGAATTTAGGTACACTGACATTTAGGTCTGATTCGATCAACCTCTGAACTGAGCCAGCATACCGTAATGGGTGTGTGTATAAATGCAGGGCTTACTACAATACATTATCCTCACCAAAATGTTCAACAGCAAATCAATTGTGAGGTTATTGTTATCCTAAAATTGTTATAAATGAAAACCATGCATTGTAAGGGTGAAAATGCATTAGAGAGAATTTAATTTCTATCTTCAACCATTTCTGACATAAAAAAATTTAATCAAAAGGTATAAAGCAGCTTGGTGAAACCACATTATGTTGACAGTACAGCCTATCAGAATTTTATTTTGTATTTTTATTTTATACTTTACATTTATAATATTTTATTTGAAATATAAGTGACCCTATACATTTTTCTGGACATTTATACATTTTAAATTCATTTTAATTTGAAATTATTGTATGAACAATGAAGATGTCTTGATGTGGCAATACTGACTGCATGAGTTCAGACAGGTGAGAGGAATGCTCTCTAACGTTAATTAACTTTGCTTTTCTTCACCCCAGTCCCTCAGTCTTCATTACCTTTATATGGAGCAGCGCATCGGCAGTAGTAATTACCCGGTTGGTCAATACAGGTGCCTCCATTCTTACAGGGATATGAGAGACACTCATCAACGTCCAGCGAGCACTCGGGACCTTTAATGCACAATATAAAGCAGAAAAATCTGAAAATCTTTGAAAGAAGCCCATATCTCTTAGAGAATATCTGAGAAGCAGCGTTCCACAAATGACAAAAATATGACATTCATACTTAAGACATTTAATATTTGGGGGTCTATGTATAGTTTTAAGATGTGAAGTCATATTTTTGTGCTGGGCCCTGTGAGAGCAATAGAAAAGCACTGGAGAGATAATCAATGCAATAATGTTATAAACATTAGACACACCAGAGTAACCTGATGGGCAAATGCATTCAAAGCCATCTGAGAGGTCCAAACACGTGCCTTTGTTCATGCATGGTGATGACTGGCATTCATCTATATTTATTTCACATAAACTGCCTGAGAAGCAAGAGAAAAAGATAAAGGCACACAAAAAGAAGAAAATAAGATTGAGAGTTGTCGTAGAAATTCCCATGCCATCCAATTATAAGCTGAAGTTTTCACAGCACAAAGAATCTGGAATAAAAGTAAAAACAAATCTAAAATCCCTTTTAAGCCTTCGAGCAATACACCTCCTGGTTTGAAATGAAAGTAGATGAATTTACATTCTGTTGGGCAGGAGGTTCCTAAAATATACTGAGAGCTTGAGTTGACTCATACCTCCAAATGAGCCTATTTCCAATTTGCATAAACATGAAAGAATTAAGTGGAAATTACTCTTAAAATAGAAATTTAATGTGGCTGGATAAGAACTAAAAGTGCCCCTCTGTTTTAAAGGGTTGTTTGTAAACTAAACATGACACACTAAATGATCATATCGCTTCACGCTGAAGTGAGTAATTTTTATTTTTTTCAGAATTAAAATATTTCCATCTCAGTTTAAAGTGCTGAGACAACTATAAGTAGGCTATTCACAGGTTATCTCCACTGTGGCGATTTAAAAACATTGATATTTGTTTGAATGGGTTGTCAAATTCTGGCTCAAACAATGGACCCTTCTCATACACTGTGATGACATGTTTCCACAGTTATGAACATAAATCAGTTTTTTACATTATCGTTATAAAAAAAATTCTTACCTTGAACGAAATTATAAATAATAAAACTGCATTTAATTACAGGAAAAAGATTAATGCTGCTGAGTGAGTATTTCTAATACAATGGCTGAGTTTTATAATTTTCTCTCTTCTAACCAACGTAATCTAGTTCTTGATTTTTTCCCCCTCTTTTGGAAAGTCACAGAAACGCTAACATTGATTTTTTTCTTTTGCTATTGGGGCAAATCGGAACACAAAAATTATATTTGTTGTAGTTTTCCCAACTATGATGACTTTCACTTTTGAGAACCCCAGAAATGTGAAAAGGGTCCATGATGTGCGTTTGGTGCTTTTTCTGAACAATTCCATTTGGTATTTCTAGTAGTACGGAAATTACACACTTCACCTTAAAGTTCCCTATCTGTTGGTCACTATGAGTTATGTCGTGATGACATTAGGGGTCTTACTTGGGAGCCCTAATCACCTTTGAGTTTAAGCGAAAAGGCCAATGAGAATAGGCAAGTGGATTTTGCATGCCATGCAATGCATAAGGTGGTGGCATGCATCCACTCATTCAGATTTTTTCTTCGGAACCGAGTGGGTGTATGTCTACACTTCATGAAGCCATTCACCTCACAAACAAGCCCTTCTGTGTTGGCAAGAAGGCACATTCAGCAGTGTCCCCCTCTCTGCAGTGTGATTGCCCAGGGCGCTACAGCACTAAAAGAGCGGTTTCCCTAAAATTGCAAATTGCAGACGGTCTGCATCTTTTTCAAGATTCCGTCCGTGTCTTCTTGGTTGTGGTCGTTTCCTGTCCCCTGATGATGGCCACGACCACTGTCTTCTGTGTCTGGGTATAGAACATGCATTAGTGGACGGTTCATGCCCGCACTGCAAGCGCATAACCATGGCAATGCTGCGATCTCTCTTTTCTGAGGAAAGGAGGAGACCCCTCTGTCACTACCCCTCTGCACAGCACAAGGCCTCGTTGGTTAGTGCTCTGGGAGATTTGAGGATTACAGTGAGAGCAAATCTGCCGGGCCAGCCCCCACGAACCTCCCACTCCACACGCAGCATTTGTCCCGTACAGCTTCCAGATGATTTCGCTGGCCCGTCACATGGCTGTCCCAGCATTTCATTCAGGTAGACCTGTTTTCTTCCCACGAGTCCTCCCACTGCCAGTTTTACTATTCCCTGACTGAGGCCCCCCTCGGCATGGATGCACTGGCACACAGCTGACCCCGGGACCTACGCAAGTGTGTGTTTCCCCCAGTGACACTTCTCACACAGACACTGTGCAAGGTCCACCTGGACCTGGATTTTGGAACTCATGCTCCTCACGACAGCCCTTCCCTGGTGGATTCCCCTGAGGAAAAGCCTTCTTTCTCAGGGGCAGTGCACCATATGGCTCCTGTGTCTATATTTCTGGAACCTCCACGTGTGGCTCCTGGACGGGACATGGCAGCCTTAAGTGATCTGCCACCAGCGGAAGTAGACACTATTGCTCAAGCCAGAGTTCCCTCTACCAGGCGAGCTTATGCCTTGAAGTGGAGTCTGTTCGCTGACTGGTGTTCTTCTCGCTGAGAATACACCCGATTATGCCCGATCAGAGTCGTGCTTTCTTTCCTGCAAAGAAGTTTGGAGCATAGGCTGTCACCCTCTACCTTGAAAGTGTACATCACAATGCAGTGGACAGCCGGTCCCTGGGGAAGCACGACCTGATCATCAGGTTTCTGAGGGGTGTTAGGCGGTTAAACTTTCCTAGGCCACCCCTCATGCCCTCCTGGGATCTCTCTGTTGTCCTGGCGGGACTTCAGAGGGATCCCTTTGAGCCACTGGAGTCAGTCGAGCTTAAGATCCTGTCTCTCAAGATAGCACTCCTGACCGCACTCACCTCCATCAAGAGGGTCGGGGACCTGAAAGCATTTTCGCTGAGTGAAGAGTGCCTAGTGTTCAGGCCAGCCTACTTTCATGTTGTCCTGAGAACCCAGCCTGGATACATGCCCAAGGTTCCCACTACTCCCTTCCAGGACCAAGTGGAGAGCCTGCAAGCACTGCCCCCAGAGGATGCAGATCCAGCTTTGGCATTGCTGTGTCCCATACGCACCTTGCATATTTACGTGGACAGCCCCAATCAGCCCCTGTACTGAGCTAGGTGTCCCATCTGTGCGATTCCCAGTGGAAAATCCCAGATGTGTATTCTTCCATGGTAAGATTTCCCTCATGTTAAACCCTCGTTAGGTCATTCCATATTAGTATCTCCACATGTCACCTCCCTACGGATAGGATGTGGTCTCTGTAGCGACCTTATCCCTTGGAACTAGGCACACTTCCCCAACGTTTCCATCTAACCTAAAAAAAGAAGTTTGAAGCAAGAATTTTGCCAGAAGTTGAAATTCCTTCTGTTAAAGAATTTCTGTGAACAGAACTGCAGCATGGCCTTCTCTGATGGCGATGTACTCACCATTGGCCCCTCTCGGCACCAAGGTCAGTGAGTTTGCTCTGAAAGTTATTTCCCTTAACCAGGAAATTAACGTTCTTAGAATTGACGAGACAGTTGACCCTGAGTGGTCAGCTAAATATCTACAGCGGATCTAAAATATTCATAATTAATCATAACTAGTTATGGTTAATTATTCATATTTCCTGTTGTGAGCTAAATTCGCTACAGGGGTGTTGGGAAGGTTACAACTTCTGCGTTTACATTTGCATTGACACGCCATGGCTTGTCAGCATTTACAACACCACAAGTTGTAACGACGTTCAGTGGTTGTGGCGCTTTCCATAGGGACCACTAATATTCTCACGACATAACTCATAGTGACCGACAGATTGGGAACGTCTCGGTTAAGTATGTAACCCTCATTCCCTGATGGAGGGAACAGAGACGATATGTCCCCTTGCCATAACACTGAACCACTCACTGAATGCTGGGACACAGTCTCGGCTCCTCAGCATAAACCTGAATGAGTGGATGCACGGCGCCACCTTATACACTTGTATGTACGGTGGAGTGGCTTGGCATGCAAAATCCACTCGCCAATTCTCATTGGCCTTTTCTCTTAAACTCAGAGGTGATTGGGGCTCCCAAGTAAGACACCTAATGTCGTCACAACATAATGTCTCCGTTCCCTCCATCAGGATATGAGGGTTACGTACGTAACCGATACGTTCCATGAATAAGGCAAATCTATTTTTACTTGATACTACTACTACTACTACTACTACTAGCCTACTATTGTAACCTTGAAAAAAATGTAATATTAATCATATATAATCAAATAAATAAACAAATAATTAAAACAACACCACTCATGTTCCTTATTTAATACTTAAAAAAATGTTGCTGAGATTATCATTCCCATTGTAGGCCAAGGAGTGATACCACAACCATCTGGAAATTTAATTTAAAGGATTTAATCACACATTTACACATGGTTGTCATTTTCAAAATGTAACTTTGAGGTCTTTGTCACCCAAATTCAGTGTGCGAAACTGCGATGAGAGGAAGGAATTATGTACCTGTGGTCCCGGCAAGGCAGAGACAGCTGAAGGAGTTAAGCTCATCTGAGCAGGAAGCTCCATTCTGACAGGGTAGACTAAGACACTCATTTACTTCAATCTCACAGTTATTACCTTGAGAAGAAGGGGAAAGGTTCATTTCATTAAGGATTTCCTTGCAAATAAAGGGGCTGTGATGCCCCTTCAAATAAAATAACCCAGAGCTAATGATGAGGTGCTATGGAAGAAAAAAAAAACCCCACTCCTGTCTACTTGGTTAAATGGATGTCAGAAAATGTAATGTGGTTTAAGAAATTCCTCTTGATAAGCAGACGGTCAACTAATGTCTTACAATACAGAAGCATATTTGAGGCCACAGACCTTTTAAACACGGTTCAACAGAGGGGAATTGAATGTTAGAAAACTGGGTAAGGGAAGAAATTGCTCTAGAAAATTGCTTGCAGTGGACTTACCGACGAACCCAGGTGCACAGAAACAGTCATGGGCATTGATACCATCTTTACAGATACTGAGTGCACCACAAGGCTTATCGAGACAGTCATCAATGTTTACCTCACAGAATCGTCCTTGTAACCCTGAGCAGAGATGAAAATGGGGTGAGGGTTAAATGGATGCTTTAGTGAAGGTGAGGACAGAGGGATCGGGAGGAGGCAGACCATACGAAATCATTCTTACCAGGCAAACATTCACACACGAAACCCAGCAGGAGATCCACACACTTTGATCTGTGATGACACAATCCTTCAACGCAGTGATTGATAGAAGTTTCACAAAATAGGCCAGTATAGCCATGGTGACACGTGCACTTGAAACTGCCCTGCTGCTCTTCGCACATGGAAGTGCCCTTCGTATCGCAAGGGTTGGAAGTGCAGTCCGCAGTCAGCATGGAGCAGTCATGTCCTGTGAATCCTGTGTGAAATGATATTAAAGAGCTGATTGATGTGGAATGGCTCAATGGAGACACTTTAGCGTTAGTTATTCAGCTGCCATGCCTCAGATGACACTGTTGCCAAACGCTGGTACTCCATGCATTTACATCAAGAAGTGGTATAAACAGACATAAAACACAAATATTATGCCACTCAATTAACATGCAATTCATAAAAGAAAGGAAACTTTCAAAGCTGTACTCAAAACTGGATATTTTGGATTCATTTTGTATTTCTGGCACCTTGACTTTTCAAAGATGAACGGATATATCATGCCAATAAACCTACTGAAGTAAATCTAATAAAACGTAAGACAAACTCACCAGTAAAATGATTTACACAAAAATCAAAATCTGTGCTATAGGAACCGTATTTCACCTGGTGGGCATTTGAAATAGGTCTGTCCTCTCAGACTATAGCAGGTGCCGGCGTATAGGCAGACCTTATCCAGAGATGTGCAATCAGTGACAGCCGTGGAACAGTTCTTATCTTGGAGAGGCAGCAGATAAAAAGCACAACAACTCAAGTGATGCAGAGGTCACAACCCAAGAACACGTCCTGTCATCAATGCTCCAATCAAGTGGCATGTAATTGACATTGCTAATCTGAGACGGCCAACAACTGAAGAGTAAACAACATCTTGAATTGGAAGTGTTTACTTTTTTTATTCGTCTTTTTTTTAGTCCTATTATTTCTTTTATTTTTTCCCTCCCTCTACAATGCTTTGACATTATGTATTTCATGTCAATAAAGCAACAATAATTTTTGAACAAAATTATTGACAAAAAAAAAATTACAAAAAAATAGATGCATAAAAACAGATTTTTAATTTGTTCTTCATTTCACACTTCACATTGCATTTCACATTTGTATAATTCACAAATAATATAGATATGACTATTCCCCAACATCAATATTTTACTTTGAAAAATTTTCCCAATGTCAAAATTTTAATGTTGAAAATTTTTCTCAACATCAATATTTTACATTGAAAATAACATTTATTTTACATATAACAGTTTCTTACCTCTTATTATACATTGCTGCTCACTTAGTGTGAAAGTGAAGTGTGAAATACATTTCACAAATGAATGCACACATGCTACTTGCAGTCCTTTTAATTAATGCCATAAAAACTGCATGTATAATAAAATGTCAAAAATAGGACACTATACCCACTGCATAATACCCATATTTACCCACATAATTTTATTTACACTCAATTTATAATTTTTTACTTTTACTATATTTTTCGTTTCAATGATCCATTATTTATTTCATTTAAAGGGGTGGTTGATTGCGATTTCACTTTTATAAATGTTAGTTAGTGTGTAATTTTGCTGTTTGAGCATAAACAATATCTGCAAAGTTACGAAGCTGAAAGTTCAATGCAAACATCTTTTAAAGGGGTCATATGATGCGATTTCAAGTTTTCCTTTCTCTTTGGAGTGTTACAAGCTGTTCGTGATTAGATAAGATTCCTAAAATTGCAAAGACTAAAGTCTCAAACCCAAAGAGATATTCTTTATAAAAGTTAAGACTTGTCCACGGCCTCCTAAAACGCCTCGTTTAAACACGCCCCCACATGTCTACGTCACGATGTGGGAAGATTTGCATAACGCTGCCCAAATGTTTACACAAAGAAAGAAGGCGTAACTTTATTGTTGTTGCCACCGCCACCGCCATGTTGTGAAAACGCTTTGTGTTTCGTTGTGAAAGCGAAACTACTTTGTTTGGCCTTCCTAAAGAGGACATGACTAGAAATCAGTGGTTAAGTTGTATTTACAACACTGTTCCAGAACAGTTCAACCCAAATATTCAGATGTGTGCAACGCATTTTATGGAGGACTGTTTGCTGATCCTGGTAGAGAAGACTACAATGCCGGATGCTCTGATTCACAGTCTGTACGTACGTTTTTTTATATTTAAAGAATTTGCCACTGATGATTCAAACGCGAGTTTTGAGCAGTGTAGAGTAGCGCTTGTTGTTTGTGATTTCTCTGATCACAAATGCAGATATCATTTTATGTTTACGCGGCGCGATGCAACTCAACGCATAAAAAAACAGTATAAGTCATTATAATCAGTAATTATGTCCCCACTGGATGCCACAAATGCCTCGTTTGTAATTGGTTTTATTGGTGTTTGTCTAGTCGCGCCGGGACACGGCATCACAGTATGGTAAGGGGCGTAACATTTCCGTCACACGCTTAAGGTATTCGGCCAGTCACAACGCACTGGATAGCTGACCAATCAGAGCACACCTTGCTTTTCAGACCGATGAGCTTTGTAAAAATCGACACGTTTCAGAAAGGCGGGGCATAGAGCAGAAACAATAGTGTACAGTATGTGGAACTACTGCATAAACTGCATAAACACATTTCATTACACCAAATACACCAAATAATGTTCTTTTTAGCAACATCATATGACCCCTTTAAATCACTTACAGCACTAAAATTATTTTAAATAAAGTAAAACTGAATAATTTATTTCGTATACAGAAATAAACAGTAAGACATAGACATGCAGTGTCAAAGTGTCTGTACTTTAGTTTAAACCATCCATAAATGCAAATAATTTTGTCAAAAGTCTAAAATACAATATACAAAGAATGATTACATACTGCACAAATATATTTGCATTCTTAATCATTTATTGAAACCTTTAACAAACACACAAATTCAGTAAATCAGTCATATTCACGATGACGTACCACAGAAAATCCTAATCTGACAGAATTTTTACTTAAATATATGACATTTATCTTAGCAATAATAAAGGTCTTGAACTGTGATTTTTCCTTTTGTTGAACTAAAAGAGCAGATAGGGATCTAGAGACTAACACACTTGTTCTCAATTCAGGACTGAGTTTTCCCCCCACTATAATTAAAATATAAATGACATTAAAATGTGAACTAATGATAACTTGACAATGTCATCAATATCTATACATATAAAATGCACACAAACATGGACATCTGAACATCAATTGTTAGACAAAGTTGAACACATTGACTCAGCCTGGCAGGAAAATAATACATTTTCACATTTCTTGGGGCAGGAATGTCAAATGATTCTAAATATGACACTCAAACAAAACACATGGCAAGAAATTAATTGAAAAATAAATCTACTAGGAGAAACGGTTTTTATCATCCAATAATAATGATACATACGGTTAATAAAAAAAACATGACTATATAACTGCATAATAATGACTCGCTCAATGTGTTTAATTAAAAACTACCTGATTTAAATGCAATAATGTTTGGAAAATGAAATGCAAGATTTAACAACAGAAGCGAACAAAACTAGACATTTTGGTTTACTTAAACTTTTCAAGTTAAAGGCAACACTTGCATATGATGATTTGTCATGACCTGCCCTTTAAGCTAAAGCCAGTAGAGCTAGAATATACATGCAAGTGCTTGAAATGCTAAGAACAATTCATTAGAGAAGCATATGCATAATGAATCTATGAACAGGTCCTCTACAAGCTGTACAACAGTACAAGTATCAAACACTTCCCAAAACTAATGTTCTCACCAACATGTTTTCAGAAAAAAAACATTTAAACATCTCTCAAATGCATTATTACAAAAAGGCTGAATAATGGAGTCGATTTCAAGTTTGCAGATACAGGTACGGTACCACACTATAGAAATCTTCATTGTAAGAAAAAGCGTCCATATATAACATTAAAGCACTGTATGCTACATTTCAGCAATTGCACGTTGTCTGATGTTGAATGACAACATTCATGCAAAAGAGATATGACAACATTTGAAACAATGACAATATTTCCCAGGTTTCCTTAAAGAGATAGTTCACCCGAAAACCACATTTACTCACCCTCATGTCTGTTTGACTTACTTTCTTCTGTGGAACGATGTTTTCTTTTTGGAAGTCAATGGTGACCAAAACTTCTTCATGCTTACCAACATTCTTAAAAGTAACTGTTCTTCACAGATGAAAGAAAGTCATTCAGGTTTGGAATGACATGAGGGTGCGTAAATGACAGAATTTTCATTTTTGGCCAAACTATCCCTATAAACATGTTGCATTTAAAATAGCAATTTCTTTTTAATAGCATGACTCTTGCTATTCTCTTCTCTTGGAGATGTATCTTTCAACTCCACTTGTATCATTTGATCAAAATCCTTAGGTAATAAACCCAAAGCAATTCACTGACAGCCATAAATAAGCAGCTATGCGAAGGCTGTGGACATGTGATTTGATCAGCGAATTAAAAATCCATTAGCAAAAGCTGGACCATACCTGAAGGACCTGATCTTTCCAACTACACTCTAGATTAATTTAAAGGAGTTGAAGTCATTTCCAAGTACATAAAAAAAAAAAAAAAGCGTGACAATCTGATGACAAAAAGCGTGACCAAGATAATGCTGCAGGTTATGTCCTGCAGGTTAGACAGAACTGCAAATTTTGGCAGAAAGAAAATGAGCCAATAGGCTTTGGAGCTTTTCCAAATAGCTAGTTGAGTGGAAACTAAAGAATAGAGGATGAGCAGGAGCTTAGAGAGTGATCTTGCTGACTCACTCACTCAAACAAGTCAAGGCCTCCAGACAAGAGAAATATATATCGGTGACAAAGTTTACAGGAGTTCAAGAGGATTTGTGCTCCAACATATAGTAACGGTACATGACGCCCACGAGTACAGCAGCTACGGTGGGAATCAACCAGGTGGTCCATGACCTGAGCAAAAGACAAACAGTTGTTTAAAAATCATATAAACCAAACAGTAGTACTGTAGTTTATGCAGAACATAGTCTGAACTCTTACCTGGCGTCTTCGGAAGTTGTGACGTAAACTTCCTAGAACAGAAATGTGATAAAGCGAGCAAATGTTAACAAACTGCGATCGCTTTTACATGACAGTCAACATGTTCATGCATCAGTCGCAAAGGTCAGGAGACCTTTTTTTTT